ACATACTTGCAGGTTTCCTGCAGCTGCCCTGACATCATCATTCCCCCACTCCTATAGGCCTACATCCTGGATTTTTATCCAGGGGAATGTGGCCTCCAGCCTCCACCAATAGCCACATCTTCGCCAACATTTTATTGCCTTAAAATTAAATGTCTTAATACAAAAGTAGCTACCCTAGCTGTGTTGAGTTAGTTAAGCCGCAAATCTATGCGGCATTCAGTGACTGTTGCCTCATAGTCAATATCTGCGACCGTTGTTGGATTTGGGGCCGAAGATCTCGTTCTCTTAATGCAGACCTAAGCAGAGAGGACAGTTGATGTCTTAACCTGGCTGCAACGTAACTTCTGGGCTGCTGCTTCTGTTCGGATAACACCTCGGCCAGTCTTGCGTTGTCTTGCACTTGGTCCCATCCTGCCCGAGGTTGTGAACACCAGAGGGGTGAAGCTGCCTTGACCCATATTTTTAATTCTCTCCCCATACTCCTTGTTCTTGTCATTCTCGTTCCTCTTGTGTGCAGCATCGAGAGCTAGGTCACGGCGACATGCGGCCATGGGTCGAAAATCCTGATGTCGAGCAAAGCTGCTGTCCCCTTTTCCAGAGTCCTCCAGCACTGACGTCCATACGTCAGTGCTGGAGGTTACTACTACTACTACTACTACTACTACCTTTTTCTTTTTTTTTTCTTTTTTTAATGTGGCCTCCAGCCTCCCCCAATAGCCACACCTTCGCCACCATTTTATTACCTTAATATTAAATATCCTAATACATAAGTAGCTACCCTATCTGTGTTGAATTAGTTGAGCCGCAGATCTATGCGGCAGTTGTCGGGATTGGGGCAGAAGCTCTCGTTCCCCTGAGGCAGAGCAAAGCCGACCGAAGGAGAGAGAAAGACAGTCGACATCTCATCCAGGCTGTAACATAACTTCTGGGCTGCTGCTTCTGTTCGGAGATCACCTCCGCGAGTCTGGCGTAGAAACATCTTGCACTTGGTCCCATCCCATCAGAGGTTGTGAACACTAGAGGAGTGAAGCTGCCTTGATCAACGTTTTGGATTCTCTCCACATATGCCCTTCTCTTGTCGTTCTCGTTCCTCCTATGTGCAGCATCGAGAGCTAGATTACGGTGACTACTACTACCACTACATCTACTACTCCTACTCGCCTCTCATGCGTGCGGACCCAGCATTAATTGGGGACCTGGGGTCCTGGATGTTAATCGATTTGCGGATCGTGTTCCGGGGTAATGGTTAGCCAGTGCAGTTGGCGAGTTGTCCGGTCCTCTCGGACTATTCCTTAACACTGGGTCATACAACTCGTTAACTCAGGGTGTGGTTGTTGTGTCGGCAGCAGCTTCTACGCCAGCCATCCTCGTTACACGAGGGGCAACCATTATTATTATTTTATTATTATTTTTACTTGATATTCAGCCGTACATTCAGAGAGCTGCCACTGGAAGAAATCTTTTAAATTCTTGAGTTTATCACAGAATCACTACCAAGAAACATAGGATTCTCAAACTTTTTTCTCCTGTCTGTCTGTCTGTGTGTCTGAGCTTTATGTGTCTATCTATCTATCTATCTATCTATCTATCTATCTATCTATCTGCCTGCCTGTGCCTTTTTGTGTCTCTTTGTCTGTCTGTGTCTTTGTGTCTGTCGTAATTCTCTCATAGTTGGTTTTTCTATCCACAGATAAACCTCTATTTAACGAACTATATGGAGAGGAAAATACGTTATATCAAGGTTCCGTTAGATGTGAAACCCTCCATCTAACGGACTATATGGTGAGAGAAGTTAAAGGAGGTCTCTCTCTCTCTCGTCAAGGTTAACTTCAAAGATCACCATTATTTCACACTTATGACATCTACCGCGCCTCTGAGTGTGTATTAGTATGTGTGTATTGAGTGTGTATTAGTAGGTGTGCGTGTGTGTATCAGTGTATATTAGTGTGTATGAGTGAGTGTATTTTTTGTGTGTGAATGTGTGTATGACCGTGCATGTGATTGTGTGTATTAGTGGTTGGATGTATATGTGTATGAGCGTGTAGAGGTGTGTATTAATGTGATTATGTGTGATTATGTATAAATGTGTATGAGCGTATAAATTTGGGTGTAAATAATTATGAGTGTGTATAAGTGAAAATGAATATGTGTAAGTGAATTATTGTGTATGAGTGTATTTATATGTACGTCTGAGTGTGTATTAGTGTACAGTATGTCTAAAGGTGTACAAGTGGGTATGATTTACTGGGCAACACACACACACACACACACACACACACACACACACACACTTCTTGCCGATCTTACACACTTCAACACATACACACCTGAAGATTAGGCACCCCAGCTAATTTCTCCTGATGGCTACCCTACCCTACCCTACCCTACCCTACCTCCACCCTACTCCCACTCCCACCCACTCCAACTCACTCCTCACCTGCACCCCTACTCCTCCTACCTCATTCACCTTGCACACCACCTCTGTAGTTAGGGTTAGGGTATTGAATAATTAGGTGATATAAAATGGAGGGCTAATTTTCAGGTGATCCAATTACATTAACCCCCCTAAAAAAAAAAACGGAATTTTCATTGGATTGTTTGGTCAGTGTTGTTGGTGAGTGATTAAGGAGTTTGTACCAGTAAAATATATAACACAGGTCCGGGTTCGTGTTGTTGTAGCTGATGAAAGAAAAATATATTTGCAAGGTTTGTATTATTATTATTTTTCTGTTTACCTAATTTGCCGGGTTTGTGTGTTTGATGACGGCCATGTTTGTTTACCGTCATCTGTCGCCTGGTCGGAAAGATTCCGCGCTATTGTTTTGTTGTGAGTCATCAGCTGTAACTTAAATTGTATTCTGAGAGTCAGCTTAAGGTGGAGTTTGCCCTTATTGCCGACGTAACGTACCTAACAAATAGACAAATGTACAAACTAAGTCCTGTTGAGAGACATGTAAACTAATTAGTGAGACCCAGATCTATACACGAAAATAGTAATATTAATGATGCATGATATAATTAGATTGGGGGCATCATGCAACGTCGCCTCTCAAACATTTTTCGCACAAGTTAGTACTAATTTCAGATTTTGTTATTTCTCTCTCTGGAGACCACAGCTTTTAATTTGATTCATCCATCCCGGTCTCTGCCCTCCCCTGGCCCTCCTACCTTCCCCTGGCCCTCCTACCTTCCCCTGGCCCTCCTACCTTCCCCTGGCCCTCCTACCTTCCCCTGGCCCTCCTACCTTCCCCTCAATATCCCTTTACCTCAAAATTACGTGGCCGAACTATCTAATTTATCTTATATAATTTCTAGTATTCTTATCGGTATTCACTTGTTTTATCGTAAGTTTTCTTGAGTATTTTCCCTCTAACCTTCTTGTGATTCATATATTAGTATTAACTCTTCATAACATTTCAGCAGCTTATTTCTCAAACTAAGATCATTGTCTTTTTTCTAACATGACTCTATCATTGTGTAGTGGTTAGGTTACTCTTGTTTTAATTCCTCTTCTTCTCTTGTTTGCGATCACAACATTTTTTTACTTCCTAAATACACAATATTTTTTCCAGCGGTTGAAGTTCCTTGTTGTATTTATTTTAGGATTTTACTTTTTTTTATTTACAAACGGCCAATGGTGTTGACAGTAAGAAGCACTAAAGAGTTTAATGTTTTTATACTGTACAGTATACATCTAAATTGAACGAATCACGTGGAGATTAAACGCCCTAACCTAACCTAACCTAACCTAACCAAACCATATTTAACACGACCTAATTCAACCTCACCGTCACCTAATTTAACCTTCGAATAAACGAACAATAATAATAATAATAATAATACCAGTGAATTAGTAAACAATAATACTTCTTAAATATTTGTAAATTATGTATAGATAATTATTTTTATAAATTTACGATCACTGTATGATCAATAATGTACTAATCACAATTAACCAAATTTTGTACAGACAAAGAATAAAGTCGCGTTCCACTTACCGGGCCTTATGTTCTGATGCCCATGACGAAGAATTTTGGCAAGTTCCCCGTTCAGACTCGAACCTCCAAACTTCGCTGTCACTTTATCCAATTTTTTCGTCGTGGGTTTCGGAACATAACGCTAGGGGGTGTAACACGACCTTCTCTTTAAAAGTACATTACATATCATAGTAAAGGATAGATTGGCTTATGTACTGTACATCAGGGCTGCGTTCACTTGGACAATAAACTCACTAGTAGCGCGCGCTTGGCTGGCGACGGGGGAGAGTATTGCGATATCGTATTCTCAGCAAGCCGTGCTAAGTGAGCCATGGCTGGAGGGGAATCGCTTGTAGCGCGGTTTGTTTATAAATAAAAAAGATGGCGGCGGCTACAAGCACCTGCGCGTGTTATTTTCTGTAAATTATTTTCATATAATTATGTCGTAAATTGAGGCAGTACCTGTAGAAACATTACTAACTATCTGTGGTGGTGGTACAGTGGTAACGTGCGTTATCTCTCGCCATTATGTCCTATACTAACACTGGACAAATAAAGTTCATAACAAAGTAACAAAGAACGGACTAACCATCCACAAGGTTAGTAAGATGACAAGTGTTGAAACGATAAATAACACACCCCCCCTGCAAAAAAAAAAAACATTCAGTGAAGAAAGAAACACCAATAGATATTTAACAAGTTATATTCAACTTCGGTTATCTTGTTTGTTATGTATTACCGCGATCTAGGGAATGTACAGTGAACGCCCGGCTGTAGCGTCGACTTATGCTCACCCATATCAACAAACTTCACTCTAGTACATAGCCGCCGTGAGGGGGTTGTCGTGGTGACTGTGGAGAACATATGGACCAATTAGCTGTGTTTGTTCCTGCCTTATGCTGTGGATAGTCGTAGTTAGTAGGTTACGTAATTAAAATAGAGAAGGTGTGGATGTTCGTAGTCAGGAAGGCGACACCTGTTGCCTCATTACCACACCTGGTCTATTTATATCCCTGTACACACCTGGTGCTTCCAATAACTGGAACAAGTCCCCGAACTGTTGGAACGAGTCTCTGAACTGTTGGAACGAGTCTCTCAACTGTTGGAGCGAGTCTCTCAACTGTTGGGAGGAGTCTCTGAACTGTTGGAGCGAGTCTCTCAACTGTTGGGAGGAGTCTCTGAACTGTTGGAACGAGTCTCTCAACTGTTGGGAGGAGTCTCCGAACTGTTGGAACGAGTCTCCGAACTGTTGGAACGAGTCTCCGAACAGTTGGAACGAGTCTCCGAACTGTTGGAACGAGTCTCCGAACTGTTGGAACGAGTCTCTCAACTGTTGGGGGTCTCTGAACTGTTGGAACAGCCTCAACTGTTGGGAGGAGTCTCGAACTGTTGGAACGAGTCTCAACTGTTGGGAGCGAGTCTCTCAACTGTTGGGAGGAGTCTCTCAACTGTTGGAACGAGTCTCAACTGTTAAGGAGTCCCGAACTGTTGGAACCAGCTCGAACTGTTGGAACGAGTCTCCGAACTGTTGGAACGAGTCTCCGAACTGTTGGAACGAGTCTCCGAACTGTTGGAACGAGTCTCCGAACTGTTGGAACGAGTCTGAACTGTTGGAACGAGTCTCCGAACTGTTGGAACGAGTCTCCGAACTGTTGGAACGAGTCTCCGAACTGTTGGAACGAGTCTCCGAACTGTTGGAACGAGTCTCCGAACTGTTGGAACGAGTCTGAACTGTTGGAAATCTCCGAACTGTTGGAACGAGTCTCCGAACTGTTGGAACGAGTCCGAACTGTTGGAACGAGTCTCTGAACTGTTGGAACGAGTCTCGAACTGTTGTAAGGAGTATCCGAACTGTTGGAAGGAGTATCCGAACTGTTGGAAGGAGTCTCCGAACTGTTGGAAGGAGTCTCCGAACTGTTGGAACGACTCTCTGAACTGTTGGAAGGAGTCTCTGAACTGTTGGAACGAGTCTCTGAACTGTTGGAACGAGTCTCCGAACTGTTGGAACGAGTTTCTGAACTGTTGGAACAAGTCTCTGAACTGTTGGAACGAGTCTCTGAACTGTTGGAACGAATCTCTGAACTGTTGGAACGAGTCTCTGAACTGTTGGAACAAATCTCTGAACTGTTGGAAGGAGTCTCTGAACTGTTGGAAGGAGTCTCTTAACTGTTGGAACGAGTCTCTGAACTGTTGGAACGAGTCTCTGAACTGTTGGAACGAGTTCGAACTGTTGGAACGAGTCTCTGAACTAATGGAACGAGTCTCTGAACTATTGGAACGAGTCTCTGAACTGTTGGAACGAGTCTGAACTGTTGGAACGAGTCTCTGAACTGTTGGAACGAATCTCTGAACTGTTGGAACGAGTCTCTGAACTGTTGGAACAGGTCTCTGAACTGTTGGAACGAGTCTGAACTGTTGGAACAGGTTCTCTGAACTAATGGAACGAGTCTCCGGATGTTGGAAGGAGTCTCTGAACTGTTGGAACGAGTCTCTGAACTGTTGGAACGAGTCTCTGAACTGTTGGAATGAGTCTCTGAACTAATGGAACGAGTCTCTGAACTGTTGGAACGAGTCTCTGAACTGTTGGAAGGAGTCTCTGAACTGTTGGAAGGAGTCTCCGGAACTGTTGGAAGGAGTCTCTGCACTGTTGGAACGAGTCTCCGAACTATTGGACGATCTCTGAACTGTTGGAACGGATCTCTGAACTGTTGGAAGGTCTGAACTGTTGGAAGGAGTCTCCGAACTGTTGGAACAGAGTCTCTGAACTGTTGGAACGAGTCTCTGAACTGTTGGAACGGGTCTCTGAACTGTTGGAACGAGTCTCCGAACTGTTGGAAGGAGATCTCTGAACTGTTGGAACAAGTCTGTGAAGTTGTTGGAACAGTCTCTGAACTGTTGGAACGAGTCTCCGAACTGTTGGAAGGAGATCTCTGAACTGTTGGAAGAGTCTCTGAACTGTTGGAACGAGTCTCTGAACTGTTGGAACGAGTCTCTGAACTGTTGGAATGAGTCTCTGAACTAATGGAACGAGTCTCTGAACTGTTGGAAGGAGTCTCTGAACTGTTGGAAGGAGTCTCTGAACTGTTGGAAGGAGTCTCGAACTGTTGGAAGGAGTCTCTGCACTGTTGGAACGAGTCTCGAACTATTGGACGATCTCTGAACTGTTGGAACGAGATCTCTGAACTGTTGGAAGGAGTCTCTGAACTGTTGGAAGGAGTCTCCAGACTGTTGGAAGGAGTCTCTGAACTGTTGGAACGAGTCTCTGAACTGTTGGAACGAGTCTCTGAACTGTTGGAAGAGTCTCTGAACTGTTGGAAGGTCTCCGACCTGTTGGAAGGAGATCTCTGACTGTTGGAACGAGTCTCTGAACTGTTGGAAGGAGTCTCAGAACTGTTGGAACGATCTCCTTACTGTTGGAAGGAGATCTCTGAACTGTTGGAACAAGTCTCTGAACTGTTGGAAGGAGTCTCCGAACTGTTGGAAGGAGTCTCTGAACTGTTGGAACGAGTCTCTGAACTGTTGGAATGGAGTCTCTGAACTGTTGGAACGAGTCTCGAACTGTTGGAAGGAATCTCTGAACTGTTGGAACAGAGTCTGTGAACTGTTGGAAGGAGTCTCTGAACTGTTGGAACGAGTCTCGAACTGTTGGAAGGAGATCTCTGAACTGTTGGAACGAGTCTCTGAACTGTTGGAAGGAGTCTCAGAACTGTTGGAACGAGTCTCAGAACTGTTGGAAGGAGATCTCTGAACTGTTGGAACAGTCTCTGAACTGTTGGAAGGAGTCTCCAACTGTTGGAAGGAGTCTCTGAACTGTTGGAACGAGTCTCTGAACTGTTGGAACGAGTCTCTGAACTGTTGGAAAGAGTCTCCGGACTGTTGGAAGGAGATCTCTGAACTGTTGAACGAGTCTCGAACTGTTGTGAGAGTCTCTGAACTGTTGGAACGAGTCTCCGAACTGTTGGAAGAGATCTCTGAACTGTTGGAACAAGTCTCTGAACTGTTGGAAGAGTCTCAGAACTGTTGGAACGAGTCTCCGAACTGTTGGAAGGATCTCTGAACTGTTGGATCAAGGTCTCTGAACTGTTGGAACGAGTCTCTGAACTGTTGGAAGGAGTCCTGAACTGTTGGAACGAGTCTCGGAACTGTTGGAAAGATCTCTAATTTTGGAACGAGTCTCTGAACTGTTGGAAGGAGTCTCTGAACTGTTGGAACAGGTCTCCGAACTGTTGGAAGAAGATCTCTAAACTGTTGGAACGAGTCTCTGAACTGTTGGAACGAGTCTCTGAACTGATGGAATGGGTCGTTGAGCTCCTTGGCCCCTATAGATAGCGCTATACTGTCTCCTTTAGGTTTGGTGCAGTGTCGAGTGGAAATAAAGTAATTTTATTTTTGAGTGTCTGGAGGTGAACAAGTGTAAGGTGATGCGTGTACACGTGTGTGGTAGCGTGGTAGTGTCGTCTTCACAGGATTTAATGCATTTAATTATATATTTGCACGAATGAGTCCAGCACTAAAGTATCGTAATCTAGTTTATATCATCGTTAATGAACTTTCTCCGATTTCAGATGTCAGTTGAAATTTAACTTTTACATATTCAAAAAATTAACAGACAGACATACAAACGTGACCTCCGAACTGTTCAGACTTCACACGTTAACACATCATCATCTCATGCGTCATGTTTATTGCTCTTAATATAAATCGTAATATATATAATTCTCCATAAAAAATAATACAAATATAAATAATAGTAAATTAATAGATAGTCTTCGTTTGGTGGGTAAGATGAGTTGACAGCGGTATTATGTTAGTGTTAAGGCTCTCTGTCAGTCTGTCTGGTGTGTTTGCCATTCTGTCTGCGTCGTGAACATACTGCTCTCACATCTTTGGTTCCTCTCCTCCAAACTTAACACGTCGGTCGGTGGTGCCCCTGGGGTGGTTCTAAGAGGTGTGGGGGGAAGGTGGGTGCTGGGGAGGGAGAGGGAGGGAAAAGTATGTCACACGCCCGCCAGGCCACCAATACTGATCAACTACCGGGAGAGAGGGAGGGAAGGAGTCCGTGAGTTCCCTTGGGAGTTGCCAATTGTCTCGTGCCCAGATTGTCGTACTGTGAGACCTGGTGAGGGCTGACGGTGAGACAGGGGAAGGGGAAATAGGTGAGAGGTGGAATGGGGAGGGAGGAGAGGAAAAAGGGAAGGGGAAGAGGAAGAGGTGACTTGTCTCTATACCTGTACATGTATTCTCATTGACATGTACCAAAGCAACATTAAACTGCTCTTAAAATCATCTGTTCAAAAATGTAAATACAAAAATAAGGTGAATTTGATTATAACGTGAAGGTGAGACGAACACATGTTGTGGGGGATATTATGTGAGGGGAAAATCACGTCACAGGTGTTGTTGTGTGAGCTGATGGAGAGGACTAAAAACCTCCTTCCTTCTCCTCCTCCCCTGACCTAGGCCACCCCTTCCCAGAGAAATAGTAGTAGTAGTAGTAGTAGTGAAAGCATCATAACCACACCGCACCATAACCACCATACCATACCATAACTACCACACCGCACCATAACTACCACACCGCACCATAACTACCATTCCGCACCATAACTATCACACCGCACCATAACTACCACACCGCACCACAATGTTAAAATACCTTGTCCTCCACTCCATGAAAATCACCATTGAGGAAAATGTCATAGGAATCATAATGTTTCCCTTCCATAATATCAATACATATTTGTCGAGGCTGTATGGTAATTTATTCATGAGGGCAGCGCTACCATAGTCGGGAATGGTGGCGGATTTGGACTTATTTTTGCACTTTAGGGAATTTATGGTATTTCTTTCTTTCTTTCTTCCTTTTCTTCTCTTTCTTTTTCTTTCAGTTCTCTATTTTTCTTTATTTGCATTCCTCCATCGCTTTCTCCCTCCCTTGTTCCTCCTCTTCCATCTCTACCTTCCTCCCTCCCACATTAGATTACTCTCTCTCTCTCTCTCTCTCTCTCTCTCTCTCTCTCTTTTTCTCTCTCTTTTTTTTTTTTTCTAAATAAATAGATGGATTAAAGATATACACATATATACGTAAAAATATATATGAAAAAAGATATTTTTAAACACCTGAAAAATAAATTATATGACAACTTATTCATTAAAACATATATTAACCTTGACTCATACTCATTACTGTCCAGTTAACACCTCTCCACTACCACACTTTACACACGTTTACGTTGGGTTAAGTTAGATAAGATTAGGCTGGGTTAGGTTAAGTAAGGTTTGGTTGGGTGAAATTAGTAGATTGGGTTAAGTTAGGTTAGGTTGGGTTAGGTTAGATTGGGTTACAAACGTTTGCCTCTGGAGAATCATTGGTGTTGAGACGGTGATGGCGGGGAACGTTTTCAGAGACAAGATCAGCAACGTTTGCAATCTCCTGGGCGACTGTGAGGGAGTTGATGGTGTTGATAAAGAGAGAGAGAGAGAGAGAGAGGAAGAGCACGCCAAACAAACAGACAAGCTATAAATGAACTGCTCCCTTTGGTCTATTTTCGTCCAAGAGTATAAGAGTCTTACTGTCCTGAGGAGGTTTTGAGATAGGTGACAGACAGACAGGCAGGCAGATACATAGACAGACAGACACATACAGGTAGATAAGCATGCAGATAGACAGATAGACACATAGAGATCAATAGACAGCTAGACAAATAGATATACAGGCAGATAGATAGACAGAAAGATAGACAGACAGATAAACACACAGATGCAAGTACACACACACACACACACACACACACACACACACACACACACACACACACACACACACACACACACACACACACACACACACACACACACACACACACACACACACACACACACACACACACACACACACACACACACACACACACACACACACACCACACACACACACACACACACACACACACACACACACACACACACACACACACACACACACACACACACACACACACACACACACACACACACACACACACACACACACACACACACACACACACACACACACACACACACACACACACACACACACACACACACACACACACACACACACACACACACACACACACACACACACACACACACACACACACACACACACAGACGTAAGAATCACGTCCTCCCAGAGCCTTGTGAACGGTGACGGCAGGTGGGATCGTGCTCCCGGGATTTGTGCCTCGATCGTCCATATCCTGCCTCTGTGCTGACTGTGGAGGCAAAATCTTCCTGGGAGTGTGTGGGGAGGGTGAGGAGAGGCTGAGGGGTGAGGTGAGGTGAGGAGAGTTGGGAGGGTGAGGAGAGGTTGAGAGTGAGGAGGCTGAGGGTGAGGGAGGAGGTTGAGGGTGGGGGAGGTTGAGGGAGTGAGGGAGATTGAGGAAGAGTTGGGAGGGAGTGAGGGAGAGGTGAGAGAGTGAGGAGAGGCTGAGGTGAGGGAGAGGTTGAGGAGTGAGGGAGAGGTTGAAAAGGGAGGAAGAGATTGAGGGAAGTGTTGAGGGGAGTGGGGAGGGGTTGAGGGAGTGATGGAGGAGTTGAGAGAGAGGTAGGGGTGAAGGGAGAGTGAGGGGAGGAGTTGAGAGAGGAGGTAGGGGGTGAAGGAGGAGGAGTGAGGGAGGAGTTGAGAGAGGGTAGGGGGTGAAGGAGAGGGAGGAGGAGTTGAGAGAGTGGGGGTGAAGGAGGGCGTGAGGGAGGAGTTGAGAGAGGTGGGGGGGTGAAGGAGGGCGTGAGGGAGGTTGAGAGAGAGGGAAGGGGTTGAAGGAGGGTAAGGGCGGGAGAGGAGATGAGGTGGTGGAAGAAAAGTGAGGGAGAGTGAGAGGGAAGGAGGGAGTGGGTTGAGGGAGGATTCAGTGAGAGAGTGAGGGAAGGATGTGAGAGTGAGGAGGAGGGAGGGAGAAGGATGTGAGAGTGAGGAGGAGGAGAAGGATGTGAGGAGGGAGGAGGGGGAGGGAGAAGGATGTGAGTGTGAGGGGGGAAGGAGGAGGAAAGGTGTAAGAGTGTGAATGGAGGGAAAAAGCGAGGGAGAGTAGGAGTGTGAGAGGAGGAGGCTCGAGAGAGAGGGGGAAGAAGGAGGGAGAGTGAGTGGGGAGGGAGGAAGACTGAGAAAGGGAGTGGAATATGAGGGGATGGGAAAGGGAGGGAGGGGTGGAGTGGAGAGAGAGAGGGGAGGTAGCAGATGAGGGGTGGAAGAGAGGAAGAAGTGATGGGAGAGAAGAAAGAAAATAGTGAAGAAGAGGGGTGGAAAAATATGCTGGTTGGAAGAGGGTGGGTGAGAGGGATAGTGTGGGAGAGAGGGATGGGGAAGAAGAGGGTGGGTGAGAGGGATGGTGTGGGGAGAGAGAGGGATGGGAAGAAGAGGGTGGGTGAGATGGATGGTGTGGGAGAGAGGATGGGGAAGAAGAGGGTGGGTGAGGAGGGATAGTGTGGGAGGGGGATGGGGGAAGAGAGGGTGGGTGGGGAGGGATGGTGTGGGAGAGGGATGGGGAAGAGAGGGTGGGTGAGAGGGATAGTGTGGGAGAGGGATGGGGAAGAAGAGGGTGGGTGAGAGGGATGGTGGGGAGAGAGGGATGGGGAAGAAGAGGGTGGGTGAGAGGGATGGGAAGAAGAGTGTGGTGAGATGGATAGGGGGAGAGAGGGATGGGGAAGAAGAGGGTGGGTGAGAGGGATGGGGAAGAAGAGGGTGGGTGAGAGGGATAGTGTGGGAGAGAGGATGGGGAAGAAGAGGGTGGGTGAGAGGGATAGTGTGGGAGAGGGATGGGGAAGAAGGGTGGGGTGAGAGGGATAGTGTGGGAGAGAGGGATGGGGAAGAGGGTGGGTGAGGGATGGGGAGAGGGTGGGTGAGAGGGATAGTGTGGGAGAGAGGGATGGGGAAGAAGAGGGTGGGTGGAGGGATGGGGGAAGAGGGTGGGTGGGGGGATGGGGGAAGAGGGGTGGGTGAGAGGGATAGAGGGTGGGTGAGAGGGATGGGGAAAGAAGAGGGGTGAGGTGGATAGGTGGGAGAGAGGGTGGGTGAGAGGGATAGTGTGGGAGAGAGGGATGGGGAAGAAGAGGGTGGGTGGTGGATAGTTTGGAGAGAGGGTGGGTGAGAGGATGGGGAAGAAGAGGGTGGGTGGGTGGATGGTGTGGGAGAGGGTGGGTGAGAGGGATAGTGTGGGAGAGGGATGGGGAAGAAGGGGTGGGTGAAGGATAGTGTGGGGAGAGAGGGTGGGTGAGAGGAGGGATGGGGAAGAAGAGGGTGGGTGAGAGGGATAGTGTGGGGAGAGGGATGGGGAGGAAGAGGGTGGGTGAGAGGGATAGTGTGGGAGAGAGAGGATGGAGAAAGAGGGTGGGTGAGAGGGATAGTGTGGGAGAGAGGGATAGTGTGGGAGAGAGGGATGGGGAATGGGTAGAAAGAGATACAGATGGACGCTGGGAGAGGCGGAATAAGGGAATGCCACGAATAATGAAAATAATCATTACAACAACAACAACAACAACAACAACAACAACAACAACAACAAAACAACAACAACAACAACAACAACAGCAATAAGAAGAAGAAGAAGAAGAAGAAGAAGAAGAAGAAGAAGAAGAAGAAGAAGAAGGAAAGAAGAAGAAGAAGAAGAAGAAGAAGAAGAAGAAGAAGAAGAAGAAGAAGAAGAAGAAGAAGAAGAAGAAGAAGAAGAAGAAGAAGAAGAAGAAGAAAGAAGAAGAAGAAGAATAAGAATAAGAATAAGAATAAGAATAAGAATAAGAAGAAGAAGAAGAAGAAGAAGAAGAAGAAAGAAGAAGAAGAAGAGGAATCAACCAATTTAACTTTTCATCTGGTTGGGAAATAAAAACACTTACATTTAGTAAATTTAAGTATGTTGAGTACAAGCGCTGTAACTGACTGAAAGAAAGTCTTCTTCAAGTTCCATTTGTATTCAATAGATGCATGACGCTGCAGGAGAACTTCACGAACCTGAGATCCCACGAAAATCTCTTTCTTCGATTTAGCGGTACTGATGTTTGTGAATTTCTGGCTGAGGTACTTTAAACCTTCACCATCTTTAAGTAATACGTTCATAATGTTTTTCATTATCACTTGCTTGGTGTACCACGGTGGTAAGCACACACACTGCTAGATCCAAAGTGATTCATGTTGCAGCTTTTTCTTACGAGGGATGTATGTCTCACGTGGAGCCCAATAATGAAACATTAGTCTGGTAATGACTGTCTTAGACACACAAGTAACAACCATAATTTGTAAAACCATATTCTGAGCTCATGAGTAGGGCTATGATTCCATGTGTGCCATTGAAATTCAGTATATTTGATGGATTTAAGTACCACAGTGAGCCATTGGTATGGTAGGTAACTGTTAATATGGATCAGCCTTATGAACCTTGTGCATCTAGAAGACCATCAAACCACAGCAGTAAAACACTGAACTGCTCCACACTGAAGAACTTAATGAGACTCTTTATGTTCACTGAAGAGAGTAACATGACCGTCCTTGTGCAGGAGGCGCCACTGCTGGAGTCTTCAACTTCACAATTTTCTCTCTTGCTTCGAGAGCTCAAGATCCCTGACTATGTCAGTAAGTTTGACTGTTCAAATATCTAGGTATAATTAATATGTTGACAACTAGAAGTGATACAGCAAAACTAAGGCCACATTTGTAATCAGTATTCTTTATTTCGTAAGAAACATCCAACTTTGTTGACAACAACAACAATAATACTAATAAAAATAATAATAATAACAACACACTACACACAAATTCCTAATGACGTGTAAAAGACAGAATTTTCCCCACGGTAAGTGAGGGAAATTATGGTACTCACAAAAACACAACTCCTTCACCTGACACAAAGGAGTCATAAAGGAGGCAATTGGTGTAGTGGCCCCGTATCACAACCCTGTGTGTGTGTGTGTGTGTGGGAGAGAATGAGGGAGGGAGTGAGGGAAAGGGGGAGTAAGGAGGGAGTGGGAGGGGCAGAGAAAGGGAGAGGGAGACAGAGAAGAAGGGGGGGATAGAGGAAGAGAGAGAGGGAGGAAATGGGAGGAATGTCGGGTTATTTCTCTCCTTTCATCCTTCCATTCCTCTTCTCTCCTCCCTTCCTCCCATTCCTCCTTCTCCTTCCTTCCACCCATTCCTCCTCTCCTCTGTTCTGTCTATTCCTCCATCTCTCCTTCTCTCCGTCTTTTCCTCCTCCTCTCCGTCCATTTCTCCTTCCTTCCGTCTAATCCTCCATCTCTCCGTCCTTCCGTCACTCTGTGTTGTCTGGTGTGAAGATTATATCAAAGACGTTTAATAATCACTGTTATTCATCCTTGTTATGCCTCGCCACCTCTACCGGGGGGTGTATAGGAATACCACCTGTTTGTTTGTTTGTCTATCTGTATGTTCGCCTGTCTGTTTCTTTATCAGCCTGTCTGTTTGTTTTTCTGTATGTCTGTGTGTCTTTGAGAAGTGGGGAAAGGGAAGAGACGGGGAGAAGAGATAGGTGGCAAGGAGAGGGAAAGGAGACGGACAGGGAAAGGAGAGGGAGAGAAGAAGGAGAGGGAGAGGAATGGATGGTAGGGGGAGGGAGAGGAGGAGAGGGAGGACCTTCAGAGTTGGCGTCAACGGTCAGATCTGTTCTGGGGCTGATTTTATGGAACGTCTATATTGACGACCTCCTGCAACACATGCCAGTGGTATCGGCCTACGCTGATAATTGCCCCCTACCGTGTTCTTATCCCCGCCAGGATAGCCAGCGAGCAGTTCAGAGGTAAACCAACCGATGGAGTTGATCCATGGATGGGGTACGCGTTGGCAGGTGAATTTTACCCCTCAGAAAACACAAGTGATGGTGATATCCCGCTCCCCGGTGGCCGCCCACATCGTGAAGGATATAATCCTCTTTGTGGAGGTGCCTCTGCCACCCCTGGATTACATGACCATCCTCGGAATGGACTTAGACAAACATTTGAGGTTCGACAAACACCTTAACAACTGCGCCCGTAAGGCCTCACTCGGGGTCTCCGTCCTGAGAATGTTGACTAGATTCCTTGACCACAGTGGGATCCTAACGCTCTATAAGGCTCAGATAAGGCCTTATTTAGAGTACTCATCCCTGTCGTGGATGTCCAGCGCTCCTTCCCACATTGGAAAACTGGACACGATACAGAGGCGAGCCCTGCGACTGATGGATTCTGCCTCACACCCTCCCCATGACATCGTCACCACCGTGGACTCTCTGGAGCACCGGGGAGATGTGGCGGCCCTGGCGGTGTTCCACGAGGCCCAGGTCTAATAGGCACCTCACCTGACAGGACTCAGGTTGCCCCTACGAGCTCCTCAGAGGAGCACGAGAACGGTGCTCTCGAGCGTCCAGCTGGTGGAGGCGGCGAGGTCACGAGCCGATCAGCATCAGAGGTCCTTCATGGCCAGAGTTTCACGACTGTGGAACCTCTTCACGGCGGCCATACCGGATGTCGGGGAGATGACCACCCAACAGGTCAAGATGGCCGCTCATAGATGGCGAGCGACACTCCCAACTCTGCTGATTCTTCTGCCAACCTGACTTAGTCGTCCGTCCACAGTACGCCAACTGAGGTCTACAACTTTACTGTATATTACTTTGTAATTTGTTTACAATATTATTTACGATGTCTGCATGATTATATTTTAATAGCTTTAATTAATCCAATGTCTTTAATTATGTACTGTATGATAATTTACTGTAACAATCTTGGGGAAAGTTTTTCAGGTATGATTGTTTTTACCAGAATTGTCCTTTAAACCAGGTATCGTGAGATTCCCAGGTAAACAACTGTTTAAATGAAAAGACTGATGGCAGGGAGATGGAGAGGGGAAAGGGGGGGAAGAGAGGAAGGAGGAGAAGGGAAAGGAGAAGACGAGGGGAAGGAAAGGAAGAGGGTAAAGGAGAGGGGAAAAGAGAGGGAGAGGATTATCATGCTACCTCACCTAACTTTACATTACGCTAAGGAATTTTAGATTACGTTACATAGCATTAAGTTACGTTATCTAACATTAATTTATGCAATGTTATGTTACGCTAAGTTATGTCATATTACGTTCCACTAAGCTACGTCATGTTACACTATTTTATGTTACGTTACGTTACGTTAGCCAGAGGCTCTTAACAGCACTTCCTGACTCACAAAAGTTTTATAAGTTCTGTCTGACATTAACTTAATTTTTTTCTCTCTCTCTCTCTCTCTCTCTCTCTCTCTCTCTCTCTCTCTCTCTCTCTCTCTCTCTCTCTCACACACACACACAGATAAATATGGATAGCTAGATTAATGGTTAGAGATTCAGAGAGTTAGATAGATAGATAGATAGATAACCAATTTAATAGTTAGAGATAGATTGACAGATATATTCACAAATAAACAGATAGACAAACAGAGAGACAGATAGCTAGGTTCGACAGACAAATATGCCCATAAAGAGTTATAAATGTCACTTACCTCATCATGGAGTCAACAGAGAACAATAACTCTTGGAGCTAACTGCCCAGTTGGAGGCCGCCCTAACGATCATAACTACCCAGACGTGTGTTGAATGACCACCACGGGAGTAAACAAACCCATTACGGATACCAAGGAGAAGAGGAGGTAGTTTTGTCACGGGTCAAGCCTTATGTTGGGAAGGGGGTAGATTTGTCACGGGTCGAGCCTTATGTTGGGAAGGGGGTAGATTTGTCACGGGTCGAGCCTTATGTTGGGAGGGGGTAGATTTGTCACGGGTCGAGCCTTATGTTTGGAGGGGGTAGATTTGTCATGCCTCAAACTATCTTGGGGAGGGGGTAGTTTTGTCACGGGTTGAACCTTGTTGGGAAGGGGGTAGTTTTGTAACGGGTCGAGCCTTGTTAAGGGGGTAGTATTTTCACGGGTCGAACACTTCTTTCTTTGACCTCTTGACCTCACTGTGGATGTTATTATTCGACCTCTTAATGGTGTGAAGGTGAGGATGATTGTGTATATGGTGGTCATAACGACTGACTGTTATCACTACCATTATGATTATTACTTATATTACCGCTGACAACGACCACTACCACCGCTCAATACCACTAACACCACTACCACCCTCACCTCACTTACACCACTGGCCTTCACACCACGTCATCACTACTAACACCACTACCACCTCACCTCTTACACCACTACCACCGCCTTACACCACTACCACCGTCATCACTAATACTAACACCACTACCACCTCACCTCTTACACCACTACCACCGCCTCTACACCACTACCACCGTCATCACTACTAACACCACTGCCACCACCTCTCTTACAAGCACCACTACCACCGTCATCACTACTAACACCACACTACCACCACCACTTACACCACTACCACCGCCTACACCACTCACCACCGTCATCACTACTAACAACACCACTACCACCACCTCTTACATCCATTACACCGCCTTACACCACTACCACCGTCATCACTACTTCAGCACACACCACTACCACCGTCATCACCTCTTACACCACTACCACCGCTCTTCACTACTTACACCACTACCTCACACCACTGCCACCACCTCTACACCACTAACACCTTACACCACCACACCACCATCACCCACTTACACCACTACCACCACCTCTTACACACTCATTTACAACCACCTACCACCACAATTTCACACCAATTACCTCACCACCATACACCACTCACCACCACCATCACTACTTACACCACTACCACCGTCATCACTACTAACACCTCACTACCACCGTCATCACTACTTACACCACTACCACCACCATCACTACTTGTTGCCACCACTACCACCGTCATCACTACTAAACACTACCAATCGTCATCAATACACTACACCACTACCAATTATCACCACTTACACCACTACCACCACCTCTTACACCACACTAACACCACCATCACTACTTACACCACACCACCACCACTTATTAACTAATTACCACACCACTTACACCACTACCACCACCCTCCACACTTACCATACCACCACCACTTTACACCACTACCACCGTCACCACACTTCACACCACTACTTTCACACCCACTAC